GTGCATATGAATCATCTGGATATCTTGTTAAAATGCAGGTCTGGGTGGGGCCTGAGATTCTGCATTTCCAGCGAACTTGCAGAGGATGCTGATGTCACGGATCAGAGGACCACACTTCGACTAGCAAGGCCTTATACCACTAGGCTACAATTAGAAATTATGATAGAGAGATAGCGTAGCTCCAAAGTGGCTTAAGATTAATGTATTCAGAACGGTGATTATCAGGCAAACCATAGGTAGCAAACTCTAAATACATTTGTCTTGATTCATCTATTAACTCCCCCTCCAATTTCCCTTTTCCAGTAGTAATGTTTAAACAGTGCGATCTGCGTATGTGGCTCTCTGGTAACTTGGCATTGATATAATTGTGCATGGTCCCATGTTTGGAAGAAATCTTTTTGTTGTGGCAGGTGCTTCCAGAGATAAACTCCTCGGGGGCCCCGGGAGGGCGATTCAGGACACACAGGCCAGTTGTCTGCAACTGGAGACTCTAAGAGCAGAAATCCCACTTTCCATTTTTCTTTTTTCTTCTTTTCTTTTTCCCTCTTCTTTATTTTCCAGATCTACTTTTCCACCTTCATAAGTTACTTCTCTGTTCTTTCGTCCCATAATCACCCAATAGACCAGGAATGTGGTGCCATCCTGGGGCGCCCTCTGGTGGTTCATCGAAAATACAGCAAGACTCGGTCTCTACCCTAGGGTTTCCCCTTATCTGTACTGAAAGCTTACGGGGGGGGGCCCAGAGAAGGGACACGTGCCTCAGCGTTAAGACAGCCCGGTCTGCTCCGTGCTGCACTGCTAAATAGTCCTAAATGTAGGAGGAGGATGGGCGGAAATTTTTAACAGATTGACCCCCAGTCGCTGCAGCTTCTGTCTTAATCATTGTGTCCTTGATTTCTCATTGACAGTCTCTGGAAAAGATGCTGTTTATCAATGGATAACTTTTCAGAAGAATAAATTTGGATTTGTGTGTTAAGGCCGATATATCTTAGCAATCATTTAGCAGAAGACCAGCCCAGTGAGTTTTCAGGGCCTACTAAACCGATGTCTCTCAAATAAGCAGTATAATTAAACCTGAGCACTACTGAGAACCAAGTCAGCATTCTCTTTCAAATTTATGAAAGCTGGCTTCCCCAAGAAGTACCTTCAGAGGAGTTTTCTAGTTTTGTGTATTGTGCATTCAATTGTACAGGCAATGTTACATTTGCATTGCTAATAGACCCTTCCTGAATGTGTTTGACATTTTACTTGGCTTTGAAAGGACTTTTATGCCGCTGCTTTTTCTTCCCTAGTGCTGCCTTGGGCTAATTAACCTATTCCCTTACTGGCTGGGCCTACTATATGCAAATGTTCTCATTTTGCATTCTGACATATCACTCTTGCATGAATATCCCTCACGAAACCCTGTGGGGTTTTATTGGATCAGTGCTACAGGAGGGCCAGCAGGGGGCGCCTGGACCGGTTCTCTCTGAGTAGGTCTCACGCATGAGTTTTCCTTTCTGGTTGGTATGGAAATGTGGGAGCGTTTTGGCATTCCCTTTCTTAAGAGTGATTCTTGAAATTTAAAAATAAAAGTTCATTATTAGTTCTTATCAGACAGTCAAAAGGGGCAACTTTTTTGATGCTTTTGTAGTTTAATTTTATTCTGTCATTGTAATTGATTTGCAAGTATTGAGTGTAAATCATATGCTGTGCTTTTTACAAGGGAAGGCTGTACAGAACACAGTTATTTGAGCCTTACAAAAATCCTAGGTTGGCGGGGCGCAGTGGCTCACGCCTGTAATCCCAGCACTTTGGGAGGTTGAGGCTGGTGAATCATTTGAGTTCAGGAGTTCGAGACCAGCCTGGCCAACATGGTGAAACTCCATTTCTACTAAAAATACAAAAATCAGCCAGGCATGGTGGCAGGTGCCTATAAGCTATTCAGGAGGCTGAGGCAGGAGAATCACTTGAATCCAGGAGGCGGAGGTTTCAGTGAGCTGAGATCAC